CATGATGAATATCTTACAATATTTATGATGAATAACAAGTTTGTGACATGACATTTATTATTACATCATTATACTTTGAATTTTTTTATTCAACATATTATATTATTTATTTATCTTTTATCATCTTTTTGGTATTTTAATTAACATATTATATTTTCAGAGATTTGTTTTTAATTATATAATGAAATATTGTAATTGATTAATTTTTAAAATGTCTTTTTTGGCCATTTTACATGTTTATAAATATGTTTTGTTCATTAGATAGCTTATCAGCCATCAGCTACTTTATCAACTAGTTTGCCAAATATAACCTTATTTATCTAATTATCATTTTAAATATTAAATCCTAGTTGGTCGTGAATTTCTAAGCCTACTATCGATTTTATCAATTATCTCATTCGATTAAATTCGTCATCAAAATCGATAGAACATATATTTTTTGCATTATAACTAAACTCGAACTCGGTCGACCTCAACCCGACCAAACCAAACCCAAAGCAATCCGAAACAATTTGGGGCATGATTTCCTTATCCGAAATCCGATCTGGTTTTGGTTTGCCAGCCCAAACCCATCCCGACGAGCCCGATGCACACCTAAAACCAGCTTCGTTTGAAAAAAGAGCTTGAATTATCTTTGAAAAAACAAAGCGAGACTAGCCTGTTAAAGATTAGTGGGTTTAAATAGAGATGATCAATAAGGCGGCATTTGCTTCATTGACGAAATTTAAAGTAAAACACTCAGTTTCATTGATCAAATTTCATTCATGCGTTTTGATACGACCTTATACTAGAGGGTAAATCTCTAGAAATAAAGTGTTTTGGGACAAGTTTATCATTCTCATTGCCAAAAAAGAATTACAATCTTTATAATAAAGGAATCAACTACTACTAGATAAGGAACCCATGCACATGCAATTATACTTTATAAGCAAAGAACTTAGTTTAAGAAAAACTTTCTTTTATTGAAAGCAATAAATGAGAATCAGGTTCGTATCACGTTGGTTCATTATCGGTTTCTAGTAAGGAATTTTGATTCCTTCATCTAATGTTTTAAGAAAAGTTGTTATGCTCTTATATTTACTTTATTATATTTCATCCTGGTCAGTGGTGGATCTAGAAACTTACGTGACTAGAGGCCTAGGGGTATAAAAATATCTAAAACCGAATAACTTACCTGTACCAAAACGGCTTCGGGCTATTCGATTTGTAGTAGTGGTGTTCGCGATCCAATTTGGGCGGTTTAACCCCTCATACCACAAACCAAACCACGATGGCAGTTTATAAAATTTTCAAACTAAGCGGTTTGATAATTAAGTGCTCAGACCGGTCAAACCAGACCACAAAAGGCAGTCTGGTCTGACCGGTTTAGACAGTTTAGGCATTTTATGGACTTTAAATATTAAACTTAAACATATATAATTTAGAATTTTAGATTAATCTATTTTAACAAAACAAAGTATCCAAATAAACCACTGTCCAAACAAATAAATATATAATACATATTAGAAAGCAAACAAATTAACAAAGTTGAGTACAACTCCACTTTGAGCAACAAGTCTACAGCCTTCACTTCTTGAGTCTTGAGTTCTTGACCAAACAAAATAGAAGCCAAATCTAAATGTTTAACAAAAGTCAAAACAGTAATCTGTAAAGTGCAAACAAAGTCCACGACTTCATAATCCATACAGATTGAATCTTTTATCAGACAAGAATTTGTAAAAAAGTGACATCATATAAATTAGAAGGATAAAATATTGCATGAAATGTGTGAAAGAAGTAGACAACTAATCAAAACTTACGTTATAGCTATCCAATAACTTTCTAATCAAGATTCCAACTTCCAATGGGGCTTCGGTAGATTTATCTATAAAAATCAAAAATAAATTAGATAAACAACATAAGTGAAAATAACGTAATCTAAAATTGAAGTAATGTGAAATTAACTTAAATTGATTACCATGTTCCACATTTTCGTAAATATCCATCTCTTCCAAAATAGAAGCCAAGTCTAATGGCAAATTCGTGGATCTCAACCAATTGTGGCATCAAATTGAAGTTCAATCATGGAAGGACTCAATGAACTCCGAAAGCAATCAAGAACTCTCCCTTCAGTGCTAAAAGCAAACTCCGAAGCTACCGTTGATACATGGACAACAAGAACATCTTGAGCCAATGCCAACAAAATAGGTACTCTAATGACGCCACTTTCCACCATTCTAAAATTTTGAAGTTCTTATTTTTCATATCTTCATTTCGTTCACCAAGGTACCTTTCAAGTTCATTTTGCATGTCCAAAGAGTCATCTTCATTACATTCTTTTTCAAACTCAGATTCAAACATCTTGACCGAATTTTCATCATCAGAGTCTTCCATTGGCACATGATCTTGTGCTTGATTACCGCTATCTGTTTGATGCTCAACTTTAAGCTCACTAGTATAATGAACTACTAGCTTTGAAAGACAGCTTTTGATGGAATCCATGATAATGGTAATTTCATCCTCACTATAAAGTTGTCTCAAACAAAATGTAACATATTTTAATTTATATCTCGAATAAAGTATAATAGCCACATAAAGAATCACACTTTGTTTGTTCATGGTCCCCCAATAATTATCAAATTTCTTCATCCTTGAAGTCATTTCTTTCAAGTTTTCTTTGTCACTTGAACACCATTTGTTAATCAACACATGAACTAACGACAACTCGTGAAAATAAACATTTGAAGAAACATGTAAAGAAGCACTACATTTTAATGTGGCATCATAAAAGATCTTCAAAAACTTACAAAACGTGGCACACTGCTCCCAATCCTTAGACGTTGGTGGCCCAAGCGGATTTTCTCCATCTCTATCGTCTTTAAAAAATTATTGAATGAAGTAATCATCCTCTTCTTCTAATAACTTAAAAGCCTCATACTTCAAAGTAGGATGTAACATCAAATATGTGGAGTTCCACCTAGTTGGCACATCTAAACAAACAAGAGCTTTATCTTCTTTACATATATTTTTTATACAACTTTTAAATCTTGCTAACCTAGAGGAGGAATATATAAGATACCTAACTGCTATTGATTGATGTGTTTTGAAGATGCATGTTGTTATTCATGTGATTGTACAAGAACATTCTTTTAGAATTTTTGAGTTGTAAATTTTATATATAAGTTTATTGTACTAATGGGACCTATGTGGTATAAATTGTATTTCTTTTATATGAAGTACATGTTTATATGCAAATGTGGAAGTTGGGGGTGTTACAGAACAACAACTATAGAATGGTCCATTTCTTTCAATCCATCATCCACAAATAAGTTTAATATATGGGTTGAACACTTAAATGCAAGAATT